GCAGATGTCCAACCCTGTGTTCCCTCTGGTTTTTCTGATGAGGGATTTAATGGATAATGTGTCCTGGGCACTACCCTGATGGTGTTGCTGGGTTCCTCCATTGCCCCGTATATTTGTGGTTGTGGGCCTCGGAGCATTGGGCCCCCCAGTCAGTTTTTCAGCAATGGAGCCTGATGCTTTTCTCCATGATATCGTGGGTAAACACTGGGTCCTTGTCCATTTTTTGATAACGGAGCATCCTCTATGGTGGTTTGAGAATGGCATTCATTAGCCCAATGTCTCCCTTTATTCAGCAGCAGAAGGTAGGAAGTAATGAAATTAAATGTAGAAGTAATAAAATAGAAAATGATAGACCAAATAACAAAAGTTAGCTATTTGACAGGGCTGGGAGCTAAGGCTCAGCAGTAATGCAGTTGCCTGGCATGGGTGAGGCATTGAGTTTGAATCTCAGAACCACTTATAAATACATAAAATAAAGGTCTATCAGCAGCTAAAAATATTTTTGAAAAGTTAGCTATTTGAAAATACTTTAAAAATGTACATTTTGCAGGCTGGAGTTGTAGCTCAGTGGTAGGATGGTTGCCTCACATGTGTGAGGCATTGGGTTTGATTCTCACCACCACATACAAATAAATAAAATAAAGGTCCCTCAACAACTTAAAAAAAATTTTAAAAATGGACATTTTGCAAATATGATAAATTACTGAAGAAAACAGCACAAATAAACAATATATGCTAAATAAAATTCTAAAAATATAGACATAGAAAAGACTTAAATGTTGTAAGAGAATATAATAAATGTATTTCATCTTTCCTTCAGGATAACGAAATGATGGGCAAGTAAATATTTCTACTTATAGCATTATTTCAGTTAACAAACTAAGAAGAGATGAAAAGAATTACCGCAGGGCACAGTGGCACATGCCTGTAATCCCAGAGGCTTGGGAAACTGAGGCAGGAGGATCTCAAGTTCAAAGCCAGCCTCAGCAAAAGTGAGGTGCTAAGCAACTCAGTGAGACCCTGTCTCTAAATAAAATACAAAATAGGGCTGGGGGTTTGGTTCAGCGGCTGAGTGCCCCTGAGTTCAATCCCCAGTACTCCCCCCACCAAAAAAAAAGAAAGGAAAAAAAGCAACAGAATTATCACTCTGTTAATGGGTTAATGGATAATGGTTATGATCAACAATATCTGCCAACATCAGCACAAAGGGAGAGAACCAGACCTTCTGTGCCTTCAAATGAAAGTACACAGCATCACCTATAAATGGTTTTGAAAAATAAGAAAACAAAAATCTGACCAAGCTTCAAGCTCTTTCAATTTAAATAAGTATAGGGAGCTGAAGATCATGTAAAGGATACCAAAGTGTTGCAATCAGTAAAATCTAGACTATGGGAGACAGAACAAAGACCTATGCTTTTTTGTTTTTTCCGTTTGTTTGTTTTGGTATGAGGGATTCAACCCAGCAGCACTTAAACACTGAGCCACATCCCCAGCCTTTTTTATATTTTATTTAGAGACAGGATCTTGCTAAGTTGCTTAGGGCCTCACTAAGTTGCTGATGCTGGCCTTGAATTTGCAATCCTCCTGCCTCAGCCTTTTGAGCCACTGGGATTACAGGTGTGTGCTAAGGTGCCCAGCTGTGGTTTTTTAAATTAATGAACAATACAAATTAATTGCCAGGAAAAAAGGGGGGATATAGGGAGGACCCATAGCTTACAAATGACTTAGAAGGGACTGGGGTTGTGGCTCAGAGGTAGAGTGCTTGCCTAGCACATGTGAGGCACTGGTTTCAATCCTCAGCACCACACAAAAATAAATAAAGATACTATGTACATCTAAATACTATGTACATCTAAAAGATGTACATTAAAAAGAATGCATATTGAAATACTCAGAGAAGAAATGGTGTGATGTCTTAGATTTGCTTCACATTATTCCAGTAGCAGAGATAAGGGTGGGTGATATCTATGATTGTTGATGCATAGTGGCAGGTATATTGGATCATTATGCTGTTTCCTCTACTGGTTCTGGTTTGAGAACTTCCATAATGATAAAAGTTATTATAATTATCATGCCATTAAATTTCAAATTCTAAGTAAAATGGACCACTTTTAGAGTAAAAATGACCAAGCCAGTTCATATAGAAATAGACTAGTTCTTCTTGATTAAATAAAGTAGATGAGAACACCACCGTTACCACCACCCTCATCCACCATGAAAAGAACTAAGCCAAGCTCACTCACATGGCAGGAAATAATGCTAAATAAATAAATAACAGCATATTAAAACAGCCATGAATTAAATGAACAAATAAACTATGTCTGAGGAATGAAAACATGATTTAACATTGGAAAACACTTTCTACTGTAATTCTGTAACAAATTAGAATAATGTATTAATTTTCTAGGACTGCTACAATAAAGTACTACAGACTGAGTAGTTTAAGTAGTAGAAGTTTATTTCCTCAGTTCTGGAAGCTTGAAGTCCAACATGAAGGTATCAGAAGGGTTGGTTTCTTCAGAGGCCTCTTTATTTGGCTATAGATGGCTGTCTTCTCTCTGCATATTCACAGTCTTCCTTCTCTGTGTGTATGTGTGCTAATCCATTTTCACTGGTCATATTGGATTAAGGCCTATCCATGTGAAATCATTTGACCTTGCCATACCTCTTTACAGGCCCTGTCTCCAGTTAGAATCATGTTCTGAGGTACTGGAGGTGAGGGTTTCAACATATGAATATGGGAGAACACAATTTAGCCCATAACAAGAAAAAAATATTTGATTGCATCAATGGGTAGAGAAGAAAACCTTTGAAAGAAATTCAACACTAGTTCCAGGTAAATTTTCTAGCAAACTTAGAAGGAAATTTTCATTTCTTAAAATCTACAGCAAACATACTTAAATGTGTATGTGTTATTTGTGGGTGTGCCCTTTTCAATTTCTTTCACCAGTGTATTGAATTTTCATCTAGTAGGTTTTCCACTTTATCAGTTATTATTTATTCCTAGGTATTTATTTTTTGTAGCTTTGGTGAATAGAAGTGCTCTCATTATTTCTTTCTCAAGAACTTTGTTATTGGTGGCTAAAAGTACTACTAACTTCTGTATGTTGATTTTGTCCTGAAACTTCACTGAATGTGTTTCATTCCTAATAGTCTTCTGGTGGAGTCTTTAGATTTTTCTAAATATAGAACCATGTCATCTGCAAACAGGCATAATTTGACTTTCTCCCTTCTTATTCGTATGCTTTCATTTCCTTCTCTTGTCTGACTGCTCTGGCTAAAACTTAAAGTACTGTATCAAATAAAAGTTGTGTAAGTGGACACTCTTATCTTGTTCCAGATCTTGGAGGAAATGTTTTCAGGTTTCCCTACTGAGTAGGATGTTGGATGCAGGTTTGTCATATTCAGCCTTTATTATGTTGAGTTATGATCCTTCCATATTTAACTTGTTCAAAATTTTTATCATGGAAGGAGGTTGAATTTTATTGAATGCTTTTTCTGCATCAATTGAGATAATCACATGATTTTTATCCTTTATTCTGTTGAGGTGATGTATTATGTTTATTGATTTGTGTATGTGGAACAATCCTTGCATCCCTGAGATAAATCCCACTTGATCACAGTGAATGATTATGTAATATGCTGTTAGGTTCAATTTGCTAGTATTTTTTTTCCATCTGTAGATACTATCTTAGAGAAGAAAAACACTCATTGCATTAACATTATGGGTTGGAGTTTCTTATGTGATTCCCAAATCCATCTATGATTTTTTTGTTTTGATACAATTTATAGCCATGGTAAGAAGACTATCACAGACAGGCCTGGTTCAACTGTGGTCTTTAGTTTCAATAAGTCCATCCGTCATGTAGTTGGCTGTCACTGCTAAATCTATTGCTTGCAGAAGCCTCAGAGCTCCGGGTTTGCAGAGTAGAATGCTCACCATTTAAGCTTTTTCCACATACAGGACATGTGTCATGTAGTTCTATCCGTGGTACAGTACAACTGCTGTGGAAGAAGTGATTGCTATAACTACTGGACTTCTTTTTCAATTGTGTAATCTTCTTGGCATACTAGACATTCTAAACCCACATCAACTTTTACTCAGTTACTATCACTGTTAGAAAAGATGAAATTATTTTTTCCTCATTGACTAGGGGAGACCCTATGTTTTCCAGTTGTCCTAAAAGCTGAATTACAATGGCATCAAACACTATTTGACCCCAAGCACAGTTCCCAGGGTTGAAGTGCAGTATCCTGCTCCAATAAAAAGTGTATGGGAATCCAAGAATTGCAGAATTTGCAAAAATCACGCAAGCATCTGTTTTATTTCCTCAATAACTAGAGCTCTGTCAGGATAGGGTTAGTATTTCTTTGAGACCTATAACTCTGAGTCATTGGCAGCCTTGAAGGCTGACTTTGTCCCAAGAAGTCAGTGTGAGTTTGGTGACCCTTCTCATTAGCTTTGTTATCTCGGTCCAGTAGATTGCTACTTAGAAATGATCTAAACTCTTGGAAAAACATCATGTGATCCAAATGGCCTCAAAGCTCTGTGAAATGTGTTGATTTGCTATTTTTTATCCAGCTGCTACCACCACCTGAAAAAACAGTAATCTGGGGCTGAAATTGCTCTTGTAAAAGTGGCTTAAAAACCCATGTGTGGCTACAGCAGCACCCATGTCTGCCCAAGTCACTGAACCCTCCACCAACTCCACCAATTTTCTCTCTGCCATAGCTGTGTGAGAGAGTGGCCAGCCAGTCCCTGACCAGGTCACCACCTTCCCACTGCTACCTCCTTGGTGCATCCCACAGCTCCAGTGTCCACAGGACCCAGAGAGGTGGCATCCTAGGCAGGAACCCAGCTGCCCACTTTCTAGCACCTAAGAAAAGTAGGAAAAAGAGTCCCTCAATTTTATAGTATTTTCTTGAGACTTTATTTGTACCTATGTTCATCAAGGATATTGCTCTGCAGTTTTCTTTGTTATTGTATCTATAACAGAGTTTTGTGGCTCTTGTAGAATGAGGTTGGAATAGTTCTAAGAGAAATGATGTTAGTTCTTCCTTAAATGTTTGGTCAAAAATCTGAAAATAAATCTACCATATGATCCAAGTGTCCCCTTTCTGCATTTATATGCAAGGGTAATAAAATCAGCATGCCAAAACGATGCCTGTACTCCTATTGTGGTGGTATTCACAATAGGTAAGATATAGCAAAAACTGAGGTGCTAACTGATGTGTGAATGGATAAAGAAAATGTGCATGTATACACAATGGAATACTATTCAGCCATAAATAAAAATGAAATCCTTTCATTTGCAGCAAAATAGATGGAACTTGAGGATACTGTGTTAAGTGAAATAAACCATACACAGAAAGAGGTAAGTACTGTGTGTTCTCCTTCATATGTGGAAAGTGAAAAAAGAAGTCTCACCCGCAGCCTGCATGGGGACAGAGTAAGTAACCCTAGGAGGTGTGGGCCAACTGGAATTAAAATTCTGAAAAGTAGTATTAAGAAAAAACAAAGGACACAGAAAAATAGGTTTAAAGCAGGGGTCTTGACAGGTGGAAGAGACTTGATGGGTCTGATTCTGACCAAGGGAAAAAGCTTGTGAATGCTTTATTTATAGTTAAGGAATTTATAGTATGGAATAGTTTTTCATGGTAAACAAGAAGTGGAGGCTGTGGGAAAGTTGGCCTGGTTGGAGACTTATCACTTGTGCAGTAATTCTTCCTCTTCCAGGCAGTTGGACCACAAGGCTAATTGCGGCACTGGTGTCTCTCTCTACCTCCAGGGAGTTGTGTTTGAACCTAGGACTATCTGAGCTAGTAAATTCTGCAATATCACAGAATTCTCTTTAAGCAGGATGTTTGTCAAAGCAATGAAGCAGTCTCAGATTGATAAAATAATATTGAGAGTTCTCTAAGGGGCTCACCTCTGCTTAGAGATGGCTCAGACTTGCCCACAATTAATTCGTGGATTCCAACAAAAAAGTTTACTAGAGGGTGGGAAGAGAAGGGAAGGAAGGATAGAGAAAGGTTGGATAACGCTACCAAAGTACAGTTACACAGAAGGAATAAGTTTGGGTGTTCAGCAGCACAGTGGGATGACTATAATTCACAATAACCTAATACATGATCTTTTATGAAGATCTAAAAGAGAGGCATTAGAAGCCTCTGAAAATAAATGACATGGAGAGAGAAATGCTAATTATACTGATTACTTAATAGACAGTGTTGAAATTTCACAGTGTAACCCATTCATATGTACATTTATTACATGTTAATAAAAAATGCCTGTTAAAGTCAAGGAGAAGATATTGATATATGCTATCCAAAACTGTACTGGAACACAAAGCCAGAAAACTGTGTACAAAATAAGTAATAGGTATTACCATGGAAAGGAAAGAGATAATATCTGGTGACTTAGACTTTTCAGGCTACTCTAATAAAATATTACAGATTGGGTAGGTTATATAAATCAGAAATTTGGGGTGGATCCAAGCTGGTGGGCCAGAGGGAGGCAGCATTCTGTGTCGCTCCGTGACCTGGAACTCAAGTAGTGAGAATCTACTTCTCTGAGAGCAATATTCCTGCTCCCATGCAGAAATCAGGTTACCGTGCCCATCCAGGGCTCCAGGCCTCAGCATCACAGTAGGTCTCCCAATTACTGCCCACGAAGGATAACCAGGTACCCAAGTGGGACCATGAGCACCCTGACAGATATCACTGTCACTGCTCCCACGCAGGGCACCCAGCAGCTTCCCACGCACAGGAACTCTGGCCACCACTCCCATGTGGACCCCCATCTACTAACGTGGGGCACCCCTGGTCACCGCCATCTTGGGACTCTGTAGCAGTGGAGATAGTCCCCCTATGTGCCATAGCTTGCCTGCACCTGGGAACCTCACACAGGCTCTGAAGTCAGCCACAGCCACACACTGCACTCCACAGAGCTCATCTCTGAATTCATCGTCCAACAGATCACTCGGCTCTCCCACCAGACCTGACACCCCATCACCGAAAGCAGGCACCTCCATCTTGGGTCACCTTTATCACCATCTTCAGTGGAGGCAACTCCCAGTTTGGAACTCTGTCTGGCCAGGTACTCAGTTTCTAACTCCCCTCTCACCATGCATAAAACTCAACTCAAAGTAGGTCAAGGACCTAGGAATTGAACCAGAAATCCTGCATTTAATAGAAGAAAAAGTTGGCCCAAATCTCCATCATATCGGATTAGGCCCCTACTTCTAATAAGACTCCTATAGCATAAGAATTAAAACCAAGAATTAATAAATTGGATGAATTCAAACTATAAAGCTTCTTCTCAGCAAAAGAAATAATCAGTGAGGTGAATAGAGAGCCTACAGCATTGGGAGCAAATTTTTACCACTTACACACCAGATAGACCACTAATCTCTAGCATATATAAAGAATTCAAAAAGCTAAGCACCAAAAAAACCCCAAATAACCAAATCAATAAATGGGCCAAGGAATTGAACAGACACCTCTCAGAAGGTGATATAAAATCAATCAACAAATATATGAAAACATGTTCAACATCTCTAGCAATTAGAGAAATGTAAATCAAAATTACTCTAAGATTTCATCTCACCCCAGTCAGGATGCAGCTATTATGAAGACAAACAATAGTAAATGTTGGTGAGAATGTGGGGAAAAAGGCACATTCATACATTGCTGGTGGGACTGCAAAATGTTGCAGCCAATTTGGAAAGCAGTATGGAGATTCCTTGGAAAACTGGGAATGGAACCACCTTTTGACCCAGCTATCCCACTCCTCGATCTATACCCAAATGACTTAAAAACAGCATACTATAGGGACACAGCCACATCAATGTTTATAGCAGCACAATTCACAATATCTAAACTGTGGAACCAACCTAGATGCCCTTCAGTAGATGAATGGATCAAGAAAATGTGGTATATATACACAATGGAATATTACTCAGTAATAAAAGAGAATAAAACCATGGCATTTGCAGGTAAAGGTATGGAATTGGAGAATATAATGCTAAGTGAAGTTAGCCAATTCTACTAAAACAAAGGCCAAATGTTTTCTCTGATATAAGGAGGCTGATTCATAGTGGGGTTGGGAGGGGGAGCATGGGAGGAATAGATGCACTCTAGATAGGGCAAAGGGGTGAGAGGGGAAGGGAGGGGGCATGGGGGTAGGAAAGATGATGGATTGAGATGGACATCATTACCCTAAGTGCATCTATGAAGACATGAATGGTGTGAATATACTTTGTGTACAACCAGAGATATGAAAAATTGTGCTCTATATGTGTAATATGAATTATAATGCATTCTGCTGTCATATATAACAAACCAGAATTTTAAAAAATCAGAAGTTTATTTCTCACAGTTCTGGAGGCTTGGATGCCCAAGATCAGGGCTCTTGTGAATCTGATTTCTGGAGAGGGCCCACTTCCTGGTTCATAGACAGCACCTTCTTGCTGTGTGCTCATATGCTGAAAGGGGCCAGCTTGTTTTCTAGGGTGTTTTTTAATAAAAGTACTAATACAATCATGAAGGTTTCATCCTCATGACTTAGTCACTTCCCAAGGGCTGTAGGTCCTAATACTATTGCCTGAGAGGTTAGGAATTCAACATGAACTTTGGGGGGATACAAACATTCAGATCATAGCAGTGACAATATGATCACCTAGTTAGAAAATTTTAAGGAGTCAGCACATGGAATACTGAAATGAATAAGAAACTTCAGGTAGTATAAGGTCACTGTAGCAAAATCAACAGCCTTACCACACAAAAGCAGTAACTCATTAGAACATGTAATAGAAAATACCTTAATCACAAGAACAACAAGATCCAAAAATTATATTAAATAAATACTTGCAAAACTTATTATAAAGTTTGCTGATAGATGTAGATAAATTTAGTCCCAGGGCTGGAGCTATGGCTTAGTGGTAGTGCACTTGCCTGGCATGTGTGAGGTACTGGGTTTGATTCTCAGCACCACATATAAATTAATAAATAAAGGCCCATCAACAACTAAAAAAAATATATATATATATATATTAAAAAATTTAGTCCCAAGTAAACACAGCAGTACTTCCTATTCATTGATGGGGTACACAGTATTATGAAGATATCAATTTATTCACAGATGTAGTGCTTTACTTATAGCCATGAAGATGACAGTCAAGCTCAGACTCCAAAAATCCCATTTTCTGTTCTCAATTCAAACCTGAAAGTGACAAAAGAGGGAATGAAAAAAAATATCTGCAACATAATCTAAACAACAAAACATGAAAACCCTCATGGGAAACTGAAGACTGTGTTGAACTTATATTTGGGGTGAGGGAGTTGTGGGCTTAAGTGAAGTGGGGAGGGTCCATAGCCAGCAATATAGGGCAAGGTGACAGGATAGGTAAGAGCAAAGTTTTAAAATCTCTGTTCCTGGTTCATTACATAAACCTGAGGTAGTCTCTCAGACAACAGATGCAAGTAGCCCTATGGTAATATCAGGACAGCAAGAAAAAAACGGGTTGATAAAAGCAGTCTGACACCAAGAATCTTTGTTAATAACCAGTGAATACTGTTTAATTGATGAGAGCTATTTTTAAAAAATATTATTTTAATACAACATAAATAGCCTGGAAATGGAATAGTATTTATCATAATGAATCACACATAGTAAGGGTAGCGATTTTTTCATGATGCACACATATGTATGATTTACATATATGCTTGGTAGAAATGTACAATATTTTTCTCACTATGGATAAGGGTTATAAAAATAAAATTGCACTGAACAGTAACATTAGAGAAGCTCAAAAGAGATAGGACCTCCCCAAATCACCATGCTCAGCCTCTACTGGGTAGAAAATAAATCTTTTAAAACAAAAGGTTTCCAAAGTCTAAGTGTGAGTAGTGAAGGAAGTTGAGTTTCTTTGTCAGGTCAGGAGTGCTACTACTTCCACATCCAGCATATAGCCTGGAGTTCGAAATAATTTTGTACAAAACTTCCAATTGAGCAAATACTGAGATGGCACAGAGGGATAATTTTCCAGGGAGTATTTAGTTAGAAGTCAGGATGCAATATAAGGATCCTCAAGAGTGAGGACCCAGGGGTCTGCCCATCCCAGAATAGGATATCCCACAGAATCCCACTTACTGTTGATGTCAGTTCCAGGACACTCACAGCAGAGGTCTCAGGCTGAGCAGTCCCCCTCATTTCCAGCTTGAGAGTCTCAAGAACGTGGATGCTTTGGTCTGAAGGTAACAGGCACAAGTTAGCAGAGGGAGGATTTCAGGCTCTGATGGTTGCCAAGGACTTACAAGACCTCTCATTCCACAAGAAATGAGACCAACCCTGCCCTGCTCCTGTTAGTTCTGTAGTCAGAAGAGGGGAGAGGCCAGGCACTGCCAGACATTTAAGATGGGAACCCTGAGGGAGGTCTGAATAGACCCCATCCTAGATAGGGGAGGCCACACAGAATCCAGCCTTCTACCTGATTTCCTATCTGAGAGGCTCTGAGCATGGTGGCTGGATGTGAAATCCCCTGACTTCCCACTGGGGCATTAGAGGTCCCTGGCTTCAGGTTAGGAGAGGGGAGAGCCCTCAGGCCCTGCTAGGAATCACAGGGAGGACCCTAAGGAAGAACCATGGGAGACTCACAAAAAAAACTGCTCACACCATCAGCCTGGGGAGATCCCAGACAGGATAATTATGCATAGTTCCTTTCCTAGGCTTCTCAGGGAAATGAGGACCACAATCTGAAGGACAGATCACCTGGGCAGGGGACGCAGGGCTTGTGAGATTAAACATAAATACCATGGAAAGAGCTGAGGGCATCACTACAATATTAGGCAGACCACAAGCCTCAGGTCCACCCTACCTTAAATGTCAACCCTGGGAAGATCTAGGACATAGAGGTCTCCTATGATGCTCCCTCACTTTCACCTTACCCATCTCAGGAACAGGAGGAACTTTTTCTGAGACCAGTGTACTCAGGTGGAGCATTGGAGGCAGGCTGGTCAGTGCCAGGAGCCAAGGCAAGGGCCCTAAGCTAGGGCTGTTTTCCACCCGACACAGAAGGGGGGCTCCCTAGTCATACCTATTCCCTGCAGTCATTTAGGGAAGGATTCAGACAGGATTCCTGGATATAGTATTTCCTAATATTTTAAGAGTCCGAAGCTTCATGGGGGTGGGGGGAGACTCAGATTAGCAGAAGGTAGAGTCCCCGACCTTGCTAGGCATCTGGTAAGAAACCAGAATCGAGGAAGAGATGCAGGGGGTACAGGGCACACCACAGTTAGCAGGAACACCAATCCTACCCGGCCTTGGGGTCAGCCCGGGAAGCCTCATTCAGTCACCATACGTACTATTTTTCATCTTCCACCTGGGGGTTCTGAGGGTGTGGCCTCAGATCATCAGAGGGAGGAGCCCTAGCCCTGGCCAATCATCAAAGAGGAGCCTCCCCCCACACACACACACACACAAAAAGCAGGCCCCAGTCCTGCCCTATCCCTCCAGTAGCTCCCAGGAGACTCCAGGCAGTGTTGCCACTCCTAGATTTCCCTGACACTCTCAGATTTCCCAGCTTCCACCTGGAGGTTCTGAGGTGTGGCCAATCTTGAGGAAGCCCCTCCCCACAGATAAAGCAGGCCTCAGTCCCGCCCTATCCCTCCAGTAGTTC